TATTTGTTCTGATAATTTGCGAATCTGTTACGAGTTTCAAATTAATACTGCATCATATAAATATGTAATTAAACTGATAATGGTACTGTGATATGCGACCTCTAATGAGATAAAGTATTTCCCACTTCACACAGCACACAAATCTGCACACAGACTCGTAATTAATCATAATAGAGGCCTCCAGCAACTAAGGAAAACCAATGGTATCTGCAGGACAGAGAGTGTACTAACCGAGAATAGAAATGGATATATATCGATTGCTAGTCCAAGGCATTTCTGCTACACCACCAGCATTCAGTACCACAGAGTAGGTTGGCTGCATCCAATTAGTTCTCTTAAGTGAACTGAAAGCGCTGATGGTTATGGCATTTCTCCACTGAATTAAAAATATATCTATATAACTCTTAATAAACTGCACCTTTTTCCTCTTTAATAATTTCATTTAGAAAACTATTAGCCATTTCTGAACCACTCTGTATTACCGACAACCAATGTAATAAATTGAGTTCCACAGTAATTGGTGAACCGAATCAAAAGCTTGGTCTATTAGTAGAAGGCTGCGAAACAAACGGATGAACATATGACGACGCCAAAGGCATCTGTTAACCCTTTAGATTACAAAAGTTCATCTAAATAGCATTTAAACATTCAGTTTCTGCCTCAAAGAATACACAATGCATTTCTACTACGAAATTAACAAGTTGAAATCATAAACCAATAAACACTTTACGGGGGAAATTGCAGAGTTATTGAATGTTATAGCAAACGGTATGCAAAAGATACCACTGGGTCTTAAAGGGTTAAGGCACACTGTGATATAGTAAATATTTTCCTTTATGCGTGCATGGTGAAGGGGTCTGCCGTGGCCGCGCAGTCTGAGGCGTGGGTCGCTGGGTTCGAATCCCACTCAAGCCATAGATGTTTATCCGCGTTTTTCTGTGTTGTGATGTCCTGTGTACAGGTAGAGGCCTTGCGACGGGCCGATCCCTCGTCCAAGGAGTCCTACCGAATGTCTATTGATCAAGCCAACGAAAAATTGGAACCCGCAGTGCTCAGGCACTTGAAGAACGGGTCGTTCCCAGTATCCCAGTGGATGGTGAATCCACCCCCTGCAGTATCTGAAGAATGTGTTTCCTGTTGTGTTTATTACGCGTCTATCATGGACAATTAAATGTGTTAAATTATTATCAAAAATCCAATAATTAACGATGCCACTACACCAACCCATCATTTAAATTATAAGAAGTTATAATGCCATATCTCTCATATTTACACTTGCATTCTGTGATCATATGCTGAACTCTTCTGATCCAATCTTTTACTTCAAATGAAAACACTTTTACACAGACAGAGACTGGCAATATATGTTTACTGTTGTTTCCTCACTTCAACCCGCGACCCTTGGTTGATAGGACCATATGATGAACGTTTCGGGTAATCTGATTTATTGCTGTACAATACCACATACAAAGATAACATCAGTATCTCAGATAAGGAATCGATATTTGCATGCGTACCTGTGACACATGCATCTCAATATCACAATCTAATATTCTGTCGTCATATTTCATCCCAACTATTTAAAAACCACACGTCAACGAACACTGACAAAAATAAACACAAAAACTAACTCATAAATATTTGGTCATTGCCAAACAAAGTTATTTTCCGGTTTCCATATGAACCGTATAATTGTTATTTAAACTTTCCCAGATGACGCCGTGTATATATGCAAATATCATACTGAATTACTGTGACTGTCATGCACATTATTTCGTCTGCTAAAAGTTTCCCGTTTACAATGATGGACAAATCTATAGTACTTAATAAACAGTAGTGTGTAATGAACAGAACTACAGTTATAATGTCTTAATAATATACATAGCATTCGGGTTCTTAAATGAAATCAGATCATTAGTGAGTAGTAGGCTTAAGAACTGCATATCATTTCCCTCAGAAACACAGCAGTAGATATGTTACAGAAATTTAATAATATCAATGGTGGATACATCGCCCTAAAGAACACGCATAAATATAAATATTGTAACTACTCTCAAAAATGGCAGTGCAAAGTAGATGTCGAGCGTGGCACTGGAATGTAATTAAGTGACAGCATTCTTTCCGCGACTAACTTACATGCCTACAACAGGCAGCTTGTCAGAGTAAGATTGGTGATTTGTATACAATAAATAGATACAACAAAATGTTGATAATAAACTATAAAGAGAAATTACAAATATACGTAAATTTGACGCAGGCCTACTGACAACTTAGACTACACATTTAACATTTATTATAGTGTGAAATTTTGCTCCAACCCTGAAGACGAGGGCAATGTCTATCTGTGAATCTATGAAACATTGTCATATACCGACGAGTCTACACGGCGTCAAAATCTAATACGAACAAACTCCTATGATGTGCATAAGACCGAAGATCAACAGTTTCATTAATTTGTTCCCGGCACCATTCTTCTCTTGAGCTTTGTTTCGGATCTTCATAAAACTTCCTCACCAGGACTCGATCCCAGGACAGTTCTCGGTGTTCTGGCGGTCCGAAATAAACATCTTTTGCCAAGGCGCCGTGCTTAATATCCGAGCTACAGAAATCATCTTCACTGGCGTCCGAAAACATAATTTTTCGGGATTCTGGTCTGTGTTTCTGCAATATCCTCTTCGAAACAGATGACTTTGGTACAGGCGCAATTTTTCTATCACGCTTAGTTTTTGAGCTATCAGAAACGCCGTCAGCGGCAATCGAACTCAGGACACATCTTCCGAAGTTTTACCCTTATATGGTATAAGCGAACAAACACATAAATCAACAATTTCAATTTAAAATGTTTGGTTGTTATGGCTTTGAAGTGTGATTCACGTTTTCATTCTGTTTCATTTTCGATTTCCAGTGGCTTTGAATGCTGCTGGGTGTCATGGCAAAGAGCGAGATAAACTCAAACACCAATGAGAGGGGAAAATCAATCTTAAATTCTTCGGTGGCTAGGCCCAAGGTAATGCTACACTTAACTGTGGCGGTAACGTGTAGGATCGAAAAATATTCCGACGCATAAGCGTGAGTTTTATGTCAGTGCTACTGATCAGGTCGTAACAACTTTAATAAGGCTGCTAAATGCAAATAAGAATACGTGAAGTGAGTAACTTTTACGTTCACCTAACTCAGGAGTTTTAATTAAATTCAACGCTGAATGTAATGAAAGCATTCAAATGGCTCTACGTTTGGAATATCTTACATAAATAATAGCAATAATTTTTAATTTCATATTCTTGACGTAGTCCAAACAACTGTGAATAGAAATTAACTAAATTCAAATATGCCAAACCTGTTTTAAGCGACAGTATTTTAGTACAAATTTACGAGACTCTCCATAAGGAACAGAAACAAGGAAAAGGACCTTCAGATATTTCGCGCGAAGGTGAATGGGTAATACCGAATATTGTCATTATACGGACAATTATTTTTCTTACAAATTCTCAGTTTCCTCCAGTTCATATACATTAAACATCCCACTGTTAAAGACTTGATTCTGTTTCTGTTTCCTAAGATACATTCCTCAGTTTACCAAGTGCGACTGTAGGTACGTAGACTATCAACTGTTTGTACATACGTCAATCTGAATTTTCTCCTAGTTTCAAACGCAGAACAAAAGTTCAGTATTTTCACTGGATACAGTTAACCAACCAGATATCCACTGTTTCGGAAGTCTAATCGTAAAGCAGAGACTATTTCAATTATGTCAACTATCAACATCATAAATCCACTGAGTACGTTAGCCCGTGACCATTCTGTCACGGACAGAATCTAAAACCGCCTTACAGCATATTTGCGATTACAACACACAAAAAGGAATCTGATCCTGACATAAGTAGGATCTATGTTTCGAAGATGGCTGTCTTCCGTAGTAGTCCGGTAGAAGTTTACCAACGTTTCAGAGATCCTTGCTGCATCCATCACCAACACGATCAATCAGAAGACAGCCATTTTTTTCTTGATACAGGCATAGAATTCACTCAAAAATCGTGATAAATCTAATTTTAACTTTCTACTAACGGAAGTGATTCTTTGTAGCAAAAATTATTATAACATTGATAGTAAAGAGATTCTGTATATCGTGGCATTCTGTAGTAACAGAAAAACGGAAAACAAAGTTGTGTGAGCTTCTTAATCAACACCATAAAAGCCTGGGGGTAGTGGGGATATAGCTTTACACATTTTTAAACTTGGCAGTAGATGAAGGTGACTGGTAAGTTTCACGCTCCGACTGCTTTATCATCGAGGAAAGGGACCCCAGTGCCTATTCAGCAGGCAACTGAGGAGAAACTATGTCCATACTGAAAGCGGTGGAAAAAGAAATATGTCTGCCTCTGAAGAGATTCGAATTCTGTT